CTGTAATAGAAAGATGCAAAACAGCACCAAATCTTAAGCAATATCTATCAACTAATGGAAAGAAGGATGCACAAGCCTTTAATGGAGAAAATGTTAAACTCTATTACAGAAGAGACATAGAAGACGACCAGACTACCATGTTCACCGATAAAATGACTTAATATTATAAATATGTCCCCATGATTTATAAATTCAATGCAACTCCAATCAAAATACCAAAAATATTTCTTGGATGACTTGACAAACTGATTCAAAAATAGTGCAGAGGGCCAGCCTGGTGGTGCAAGTGGTTAAGTGCGTGTGTTCCGCTGCAGCGGCGCGGGGTTCGCCGGTTCGGATCCCGGGCACGCACCGACGCACTGCCTGGCAAGCCATGCGTGGCAGCGTCCCATATAAAGTGGAGGAAGATGGGCATGGATGTTAGCCCAGGGCCAGTCTTCCTCAGCAAAAAAAGAGGAGGATTGGCAGATGTTAGCACTGGGCTGATCTCCTCAGGGAAAAAAAAAAAAAAATAGTGCAGAAAAACACAAGAGACCAATAAAAACACTGGGGTCATTAAAAAGAAAAGGGAAAAATAGGCAAGCCACAGAATAAGATACATAGTACAATACCATTTATAGAAAAAACATACATTACAAATAGAAAACCCTAAAGACTCCACCAAAAACCTGTCAGAACTAATAAATGAATTCAGTCGAGTTGCGGGACACAAAACTATATACAAAACTCAGTTGCATTTCTACACACTAACAACGAACTATAAGAAAGAGAAATGAAGAAAACAATCCCATTTACAATTGCATCAAAAAGAATAAAACACCTAGGAATAAGTTTAATCAAGGAGGTGAAAGACCTGTATACTAAAAACTGTAAGACATCGATGAAAGAAATTGAAGATGACACAAATAAATGGAAAGCTAGTCCGTGCTCATGGACTGGAAGAATTAATATTGTTAAAATGTCCTTACTACCCAAAGCAATCTACACATTTAGTGCGAACCCTATCAAGAGTCCAATAGTATTATTCACAGAAATAGAACACACAATCCTAAAATCTGTATGGAACCACAGAAAGCCCCGAATAGCCAAAGCAATCTTGAGAAAGAAGAACAAAGCTGGAGGCATCACACTTCCTGATTTCAAACTCTATTACAAAGCTATAGTAACCAAAACAGTATACGCATAAAAACAGACACATGTATCAATGGAACAGAAGAGAGAGCCCAGAAATAAACCCACACATATATGGTCAATTAATTTATGACAAAAGAGGCAAGAATATACAATGGGGAAAGGACAATCTCTTCAATAAATGATGTTGGGAAAACTGGACAGCCACGTGCAAAAGAATGAAACTGGAGCACTATTTTACACCATACACAAAAATCAACTCAAAACGGATTAAAGACTTGAATGTAAGACCTGAAACTATAAAACTAGAAGAAAACATAGGCAGTCAGCTCCTTGACATTCATCTTAGCAATGATTTTTCGGATCTAACTCTAAAAGCAAAGGCAACAAAAGCAAAAATAAACAAGTTGGACTGCATTAAACTAAAAAGCTTCTGCATGGCAAAAAAAATGACAAGTCAACCTATTAAATGGGAGAAAATAATTGAAAATACATATCCGATAAGGGGTTAATAACCAAAATATAAAAGAACTCACACAACTCAATAGCAAAAAAAAATTCAATTAAAAAATAGGTAGATGGGGGCTGGCCCTGTGGTTAAGTGCTCGCGTTCCGCTACTGGCAGCCCGGGTTCGGATCCCGGGCGCGCACCGATGCGCCACTTCTCTTGCCATGCTGAGGCTGCGTCCCACATACAGCAACTAGAAGGATGTGCAACTATGACACACAACTATCTACTGGGGCTTTAGGGAAAAAAGGAGGAGGATTGGCAATAGATGTTAGCTCAGAGTCGGTCTTCCTCAGCAAAAAGAGGAGGATTAGCATGGATATTAGTTCAGGGCTGATCTTCCTCACAAAAAACAACAAAAAAAAAAACAGGCAGATGATCCAAATAGACATTTTTCCAAAGGTGATATACAGATGGCCAACAGGCATATGAAAAGATGCTCAACATCACTAAACATCAGAGAAATGCAAATCAAAACTACAAAGAGGTATCACCTCACACCTGTTAGAATGGCTATTATCAAAAAGACAGAAAACAACAAGTATTGGCAAGGACGTGGTGAAAAGGGAACCTTTGTGCACTGCTGGTGGGAATGTGAATAGGTGTAGCCACTATGGAAAACAGTATGAAGGTTCCTCAAAAACTTAAAAATAGAACTACCATATGACCCAGCAATTCCACTTCTGGGTATTTATCTGAAGAAAATGAAAATGTTAAGTAGAAAAGATATATGCACCCCCATGTTCACAGCAGTAATATTTACAACAGCCAGGATATGGAAATAATCTAAGTGTCCATCAACGGATGAATGGATAAAGAAGATGTGGTATATATGGTGATGCATTGCATAGACAGACCAGATACACGACAGTGGTCCTGTAAGACTAGTAACATATGGCCTAGGCATGTAGCAGTCTATATCATCTAAGTCTGTGTAAGTATATTCTATGTTTGCACAATGACAAAATTGCCTAACGATGGATTTCTCAGAATGTATCCCCATTGTTCAATAATGCATGACTGTATACACAATGGAATACTATTCAGCCATAAAAAAAGAATGAAATCTTGCCTTTTGCAACAACATGGATGGACCTTGAGGGCATTACGCTAAGTGAAATAAGTCAGACAGAGAAAGACAAATACTGTATGATTTCACTTACATTTGGAATCTAAAAAATGAAACAAACCAAGCTCACACATACAGAGAACAGATTGGTGGTTGTTGGAGAGGGTGAAGTTGGTGAAGGGGGTCAAAAGGTTCCAACTTTCAGCTATAAAATAAATAAGTCATGGGGAGGTAATATGCAGCATGGCTACTGTAGTTAACAAATTAATAAATTATAGTTAATAAATGGTGTCTATACTGCATGTTTGAAAGTTGCTAATAAGCAAGTAAATCTTAAACGTCCTCATCACAAGAAAAAAATCTTGTAACTATGTGTGGTGATGGATGTTAACTAGACTTATTGTGGTGATCATTTCACAATGTATACAAATATCGAATCATGTATACCTGTTATATGTCAATTGTACAATAAAAAAATAAAATAAAGAATAAAAAAATGAAATGAAGAAAAAACACACAAGAAAAGCTGAACAAAAAATTTTCATAAGTTTTTCCCAATACATACATGTCCTAGGACATATATCCAAGTGAGTACCTATTGGGGAGGGTAGATGGGAGTGAAGATGGAGAATAAAGGGAAAAAGTGTGAGGGATCCTCCATGGACCAATGATAATGACCATAATCTAAAGAGTACAAGGAACTCAAATTTGTGAACCTGAAATTTAAAAAGGAAGAATAAAACAAACAACAGGAAGTTTTGAAACAAATACACAATATTTTTGGATGGGAAATTTTAATAGAAAAGTATGAAAATGGCAATTCTTCTGAAACTGAAATGAATTAAACATAATCTCAGATAAAAACACAATTTTGCCTTTTGAATACAGATTTTTTTTAGAGGAGAATTCATACACTAATATCTGCAAATAGCTAAGGAAATAAAAAGAGAAACCATGAAGACTTGCCTTATTAAATATTAAAGCTACTCTAATAAGAAAAGGTATAATACTGGATTAGAAATAAACAGATAGAAATAGACAGTGGAAACAAAACCCAGAAAAAGATGCCAGAATATGTGAGAATTTAATATATGACAAAAAAGACATTTCAATTAAGTGAGAAAAGGTTTAAATAGGGAGACACAACCAATTATTAATGGTGGTGGTTTCCCCATGATGGAAAAACTTAGGGTGAAATTTACTTTCTTTTTAACTTATGTCTGCTTCATTTTCCTCCCAGTAAGCCCGCATTATTTAAATAAGCAGGAAAAACATGAATTATTAGTCAAAAATAAAAACAGGCACCTATAACAGAAGAATACCAAATGGATATTTTATAACCACTCAACTTTTAAAGTAAAAGATACACGAAAGTTTAAAACATTTAAATACAGTTCACAATTAAAGTCTTTCCCCATAAATTTAAAGTATTAACATATTTTTGATCAACTCACAGCTTTTTGCATTTCCTCAACCATAATATGGGGATAACAGCTACCTCTGGGGACTGTTGTTTTGATTAAATAAGATTATACATATGAATTCTTCTTTTCATTGATCTTTAAGGAATAAAAAAACAAAACAAAAAAACCTTGAGGCTCAAGAATGGGGCTATTATCAACAGGCATAAAATAGCCAACTTTAAGTGAGGCCTCAGGCTTACATTATTTTCCCAAAACACCATAAAAATGTGTAACAGAATACCACATACAGAAGTATTAGCAAAAAGCACTAGAAGACTACTATCTTAAAATCAAGTATTGAGGGAAAAAAAATGCAGCACAGCAATACCATTCTCTCTTTTCCTAAAAACAAAACCGAACAAAAAAACCCAAGCAATTTTGAATATTCTATTTGTCTTTCTGACATTGTACCAAGTAAGGTACAAGCAAAAAAGGATTTTAAACCACTATATATTAGGAAAGATTTACATTAGCTTTACAGTAATAAACAAGAGTACATAAATGTTCGTATACAAAGAGTCCTTTCTAATATAACGCTTAACTAAAAATTATCAGGTTAACTACCGTGTACATACCTACAAGTTTGTTTCCCTTCTAATTCTGATGGGGAGAATTCAAATCCTTGTGAAAACTAGGATCTATCAGATTCCCATTTCTCTCATTAAGTCCCATCAAAACTAGATTATAAAATAAATCAAAGAATTTTCCAATCTTTGGCATACAAAAGAAAAAGGATTCAACTTAGTAGATAATCATTAAAATAGAAATAAGGATCAATGTAGTAGGCTAAAGAAGTATAAGGAAATAAATATATTCCAGAGATACTTACTGCACCAGATGTCGCACCTAAAAAAAATAAGAGGAACAATATTTACAATGTGATAAATCATACCGTCCTTGAGTTTTAAAATATTTATACATATTATTTGTTCCTCATCCTGTCACACTAAATATCCTAAGACGGTCCCATATGACCTTTGTGCTTGCTCTCTTTCCCACAAAATAAGCATCTACAGTGCAAAGCATTTTCAAAATTAAGTGGCACTTTGAACTTGCAATCTGCAATCTCACTCGGAGTGAGTTTGAGAAGTAGTCACACCTCTGCACTTTTTGTTTCTTTTCTTACTATTTTAGGTGTCTACCTTGACTAAATCCCCTCTCTCTGCTATATTACTGAAGTACAAAATGCCTCAGAACTCTGATTCTATGCTTTAGATTTCTGGTAACTTCAACAATCTAGGCTTTAGACTTGTGCTGTACAATAGAGTATCCATTAGCCACCATACATCCCTGTTTAAATTAAAATTTAAATTAATTAAATAAAATTTAAAAACTCAATTCCTCCTCTGCACTAGCCACATTTCAAGTCCTCAATAATTACATGTGCCTAGCTGCTACTGTATTCAACACTACAGATTACAGAACATTTCCATCAATGCAGAAAGTTTTATTAGTTGGCACTGTCCTAAACTACTACCAAAACCCCTTAAGACACAAGGGGAAATGCACATTAGTCACGACATTCATATGAATAATCTTTAATTTTAGAAAACAGTAACTTAAAACTGTATTTAAAAAAGAAAACAAAGACTGTATGTAAAAAGGAAACAAAGTTTTATTTAATTACTGAGAGCAATCAAATGAAGCCACTATGGACATCAATGGTAGAGCCAAAGCATTTAAAAAGTAATTTAAAAACATTTTAAGGTTACTTTCCAAGATTATTTAGGGTAATAGTAACCAGCTCTAGATATCTAAATAGGCTAAAATATTATACTATGTATTTCAGAACATTATTTCAGCTTAAATAAGTACTGAAATTTCTGAAACATCTTAAAAAGATCAATTAGGTCTCATATAAACCTGCAGGAAAGCACATAGTGCATTTTAAAATGTTCCAACGCATAACGTTTAAAACAAAAAATGTTCTGTCATAAACATGGAATAAAGTTCAGCACCTTGAATACTAATTTATGTGGAACATTATTTACTCGTGGATAACTGAGGCATTACTATTATATGTTAGTCACACTAGTCAAAACAAACAATATTGGTAAGCGGCCAAAAAAAAAAAAAAATTATCACAGGGCTTACAAACTCCAGTGACTACAAGGATAAAGCAGGTAACAGAAAAATGACTATGAAGTAGTCTAGAAGAGAGAACATGCTCCATAGCCAAAGTATGGAGTTGCTATCCCATTCTACAATGTTTGCTGAGTACAAATATAGACGCAACTGGAGTTTTTCATGCAAATATTCTGAGTACCTACTGTGTTGATGAGGACCACTGTAAACAATAAATATTCATATCATCCAACTTTTCAAGATAAATTCAATCTTTGTGTAAAAAGATAAATTCAATCTTTATGTAAAGCCTGCAGACTTTAAATGTTAGCAACTAATTATAAAATTTAAAAACACTGTGTGGGCCAAAGTACATCTGTAGACCAAATCTGGTCCCAGAACTCCTGATCTAAAATTATGATAATTTCTTATGGATTCAATTATGAATGCTTTCCCTATTTTCCACTGCTTAAAAGAAAAAAAAAATCAGGAGCTGATTATAAAGCCCAAGATACACTGCTTTTATTCCTCACACTGTTTTTACAGTGTGAGGTTGCTACTGTCCAAATGAAGACTAATATATACCGCCATAAATGGTACACATACCTGCTGCTACATCCATATTATTTACTCCTGGCTGTAAGAAGAAAAATAATTAGTAATGTTCACCTTGTTTAAATAAGTTTTATAGAAGTCCCTCATAAAGCACAGTCAATCAGTCCCCTCTAAATATAATTCTCAAGCCACTGACTCAAAGATTCTTAGTAAATTTTAGTGGTTACACTTCCCTGAGCTTGCTATAAATTGTAAAAAACATCAGTAACCTGGTGCTACTGAAGCACTTTAATCTAAATGTTATATTTATATAATCACTTACATACAGATCCACAATCCTTTACCCACAATTCTGAAATCCGAATAGCTCCGAAAACCAAATTTTTTCAAATTTGGCACCAAATCTCATTATACTGGCAAAACCTACCCTGAAGGACATGAGCTCCCCATAGTCTTTATTTATCCCACCTCAGAGTGAATATCTATAAATTTTGCTATAGAAATATTGTTAGAAATTATAAGCCACTGTACAAGACCTCACAGGAAATTCTTACATTAATATATAGTATATGCAAAATATTACTTTACAATATTAAAAAATACCGAAATATATCTGGCCCTAGGAGTTTTAGATCAGACAGTGCAAACTTACCACCCCAGTGGAGTACGCAACTGCTGCTCATTACAACCACTAGGCTATCAGGTAATAAAGAAGCTATGCTAATTTGAGTATCATAATGATTTCTATATTGCTATACTACCCAATAAGGGTAATATGGCTATTCAAGGATTTTCTAAGTAATGTGCCACAGATGAAGTCTCATGAAATGTGGATTTCAAATGAAATCATCTGATTCCTAAATCTAGTACCCAGTATTAAATTACATCAATTTTTAATTAGCACTCAGTATAGCAAATGTCTACTCTTTAAGATTAGAATGCTACCAGATCAGGGCCGGCCCCGGGACTTAGCGGTTAAGTGCCCGCGCTGTGCTGCTGGCGGCCCGGGTTCGGATCCCGGGCGCGCACCGACGCACTGCTTCTCCGGCCATGCTGAGGCCATGTCCCACATACAGCAACTAGAAGGATGTGCAGCTATGACATAAACTATCTACTGGGGCTTTGGGGGAAAAAAATAAATAAATAAAATTAAAAAAAAAAAAAAAAAAAAAAAGAATGCTACCAGACCAATAAAATGCTTTTGTCTGACAAATTATGCTTTTTAGTATTCTAGTCTTACTTAATGTAGAAGTAGTTTAATAACAAAGGATGTACATATAATATAAATATAGGAAAAAAATGTAAATGCCTATCATTCAAGAAACTAAAAGTCCACTGTGATTCCCGTCTTACATAACAGTACCAGAGGCATCTAAAAAGCTAATGATTGGTTATAAAATACACATATATTATTTCATATATAAAAGTAATCAAAACATGACAGAAAACAGTTATTTTCACAAGATTACCGGTAAGGCAGGCTGCATGGAAGCCTGAGACATATGAGACATCATCATTCCAGGCATTACTGAAGACATCATTCCAGGCATCTAGAAGAAAAGTAAAAAAAGGTCACTACATAAGACCAAAGAACTTAATATGACTTTAAGAATCTATCTGGTTACTAAAGCTAATATGTACAACTTAAGATTAAAACCCAGTTAACACTATACTACATGGATAGCATGCTTAGTAAGTGCTTGTTGAATGAATGAAGTATTTTATCAATGATCTATTTTAATACTTATGTCATAATTTATATGTACAGTCAAAAATTTTTTAATAAATTTAAAAGTTTAGACAATTATGTTCTGACCTAAATTTTTTTTTTTTATAACTTTATTTATTTATTTTTTTCCCCCAAAGCCCCAGTAGATAGTTGTATGTCATAGTTGCACATCCTTCTAGTTGCTGTATGTGGGACGCCGCCTCAGCATGGCCGGAGAAGCAGTGCGTCGGTGCGCGCCTGGGATCCGAACACCGGCCGCCAGCAGCAGAGCACACGCACTTAACCGCTAAGCCACGGGGCCGGCCCATGACCTAAATTTAAGAATATTAATTTCCTTTTAATTTTAACTTAACACTCATGTTTGTCTCCCTTCTTTGGAGTAAGACCCATATTTTTTCAGTATCTCTCACCTTTGATTTTTAGTATCTGCATTAAGCCAACTTTTATACCGATCTGGTCCTTTTTAAAATTCTAGATCAAACGTGCTTAAAATTCAGTGACAAAAAAGTACATAAAAAACACTCTCTTCAAACACAAATCATCTATGCCCTCTCTTGTAAAGAAAAACCTTAATAAAGCACATACATGAATATGTAAAAAAACCAAATATTACTTGGGAGCTTAATCTTGTCTACCAATGACTGCAATTTAAATCTATGAATTAATCTTTGCCCAAGGTATGAATAAAAATGAAGATTAACATACATTTCCAAAGGATTTTGACCAAATGCTGATCTATATCAGTAGTATAATCCCACCTTATAATTTTCATTTTAATATGAACAAATCTAAGGAAAACATGGAGGGGGATAAAAATTATATACAACCACCATAGGTACTAGGAACAAGGTAACCAGTTATTCAACAGTTTCAAATTAAAGGAACAATCTGAGAAATAGAAACAACAAGAAAGAAATAAGCGTTATCAGTCAATAGAGACATAGATTAGAACACTCGCACACTGAATTTTATTCCTTATGAAAGTCAACTCATGAAGCTAAACCAAGGTAAAGTACATTAAAATGAAGTAGCATGATATTAATGGATTAAAAAACAACAAAAAAAGTTTTTCTGTTCCTCAAATCATTCAGTAAATTGTTTAAATATCACTAAACAAGAACTGGACAGAAAATGCGTGATTAGAACTGGGAATATACAATCAAATAATAGTAAAAAAAAAATTATGGAATTAGAGAAATAATTTACACATAAAGGGGAAAAAAACAGAGCAATCAAATGAGAACTAAGCTTGTAACCTCTCCCCCTACCCCCACTAATTATACCCTCACAATTAATTTTGCTTTAGGCTAATAGCAAAGTAGGTGTGAATTCTTTAAGTACTAAGTAACTGACTATGGGGGAGAAGTATGCTGGGCAACAGAGAGAAACAGCTTGCTTTTTAAAATGGTTTGTATATAAAATCAAAAGCTAGTAACATATTCAAAAGCTAGAATGCTAAGCCAAATTGAGAAACTAAATTTTGAAAACTAAGAGAAAAACGAATCAAAGTATTTTCTCATAAGAATTAGACATTAAAAAAACTGAGGTAAAATCTCCATCATGCAAGAGAACATTTCCACACGGTAGCTGTACATATGAATGTAATTTCAAACTGAAATACTCTGACTTCATAAGACACACAGGGATGAAATCCCATTTAAAACACAAAGCACAGCGGCTGGCTCAGCGGCGCAAGCGGTTAAGCGCAGGCACTCCGCTACGGCTGTCCGGGGTTTGCTGGTTCAGATCCCGGGCGTGCACCGACCCACCGCTTGTTAAGCCATGCTGTGGCAGCATCCCATATGACGTGGAAGAAGATGGGCACAGATGTTAGCCCAGGGCAAAAAGAGGAAGATTGGCAGATGTTAGCTCAGGGCTGATCTTCCTCATACACACACACACACACACACAAAAACACAAAGCACAAAAAAACATCCACATAACTAAAGTTTATTAAACACTTATATGACTTATGAGACACACACAGCAAACAATATCTGAAAATCATTAAACAGAATTAGAGTTCTCTCAGACAGAGTTCTCTCAATTCTTCCTCTTCCTACAATTCAAATTTTAAAATATCTCAAAAATTTGCCTTTGACGAGAACTCATGGTATTGGTTACAAAATGAGAGTTAATGTCAAATAAAAAGCTAAATTCTCCCTCATTATCTTTGTAAATTCTGAGGGGCAGCAACTAGTTAAGCTTGTTCAACCTGACAAACATTAGCAAGATTCTTAAATTATGTATGAATTATGTATGAATATCTAAAAGTAAACAGATCATTAATATAATTTTAAACCAAAACTGTAATGTTATTAACATGAAACCAAAGGACAAAAATATAAATATGCAAAATATCATGTTTCTTATGAAAAGCTACTGCAAGATTTGACAAATTATGAGCTTTTCCCAGAGGCCTGAGCATTATAGAAAAGCCTGTTTACCAAAACCTGAAGAATCTACTTTGTGGAAATGTTATGATTTCTGTTTTTCATTAATTCTAGGATACACATAATATAGAGATGCATGTTTCAACGCATCTGACTGAAGCTGAATTCCTTCAGAGAATTTGTGTTGACTTATGCAGCACCATTAATCTAAGACCATTAAAATTTTCTAATTATTACTTTTCTGTTTTAATACCACACTGATAATGGGAATTCAGACTGCAAGCTTATGAGAATTGGCTTGTGGTTCATACCCTCAGAAGTGATTTTTCCCTCCCTCTGTCCAATAATCAAAGTTGAGACATTCAAGTTACTTTACTGTCTCTTTTTGCATGGTAGGTTTACTTCTTGATTCACACGGAGGGACTAACACTTTGGTGGTTCCAGCTTTATGTGAAGAGTATTTTCAACTTCTCATTTTAGGTTTTTTTTTCCCACTCTTAGGGCACATAATGTAGAGTGTCTCACCACTGATGACATCTTAAGTTCAATGAAAATGGAATGTTAGTTCAAAATGGCTAAAGGGAAAAACTCTTAACGTAGTTTCAATAATAAGGCCACAACAATTTCATAAGCCAGACCTTTCTTAAGGCTACAAAGTGGTAGTTCATTTAAGATTAATGTGAACCGCACTATAAAATCACAACCGTGTGGAGCTTCACAAACTTCCATTTAAGCTACTTTGGGAAATATATTAAGTGCCATTATTAAGAATTTTTAGTTGTTAGGAGACAGAGAGAGAATAGGAAGGATGAAAACATATGTAAGATGTAAGCTAAATTGTCTAAAATATTAAACATCTGAATTTTATGGACACTTTGGCACCTTGTTTTCTTTTTCTTTTTATTTTTTGTGAGGAAGATCAGCCCTGACCTAACATCCATGCTAATCCTCCTCTTTTTGCTGAGGAAGACTGGCTCTGAGCTAACATCTATTGCCAATCCTCCTCCTTTTTTCTCCCCCCAAAGCCCCAGTACATAGTTGTGTGTCATAGTTGCACATCCTTCTAGTTGCCGTATGTGGGACGCGGCCTCAGCATGGCCGGAGAAGCGGTGCATCGGTGCGTGCCTGGGATCCGAACCCGGGCTGCCGGTAGCGGAGTGCATGCACTTAACCACTAAGCCACGGGGCCGGCCCGTCACCTTGTTTTTTAAAAACAAAAAATAACTCAGATATGCTTTCTGATATACTTCATTTATAACTGGCGAAACATTTGTATATATATACTATATAAACAATCTTCTATTCTTTTAATGATAAAGGTTAAACCAATTATCGAGATGCTCTCAGAAGAATCACCACTGTGAAGAAGAAAAAAAAACTAGGGAGCACCACACAATCTGCTCAGTCATTCTCAGCATCCCAGTTTGGAAAATTTCTAATGTTAGATAAAAACAAGCATGCTTCATGAATCACTCTGGGTATTTTAAAAATTAAAATAAAAGGTACAGTAATAAAAGCAATTGTATCAAAGCTACAGCAAATTAGTTGTACAAAATGTAAACTAAACTAAATTAGCCCAATTTTATTATGATATGAAAACAAAAGTGAACATCTTCACGTGGGTGCTTCAAAAGTTCTTTTCTTCATAATTATTTCCTGAAGTTTTTCCTGCTGGAAAGAAATCATACAAGCTATCTTTTGTCTAAATATTAACTTAAAATTTGGTTGATTTAAAAACCACACTTGCTGCATACCTGCAGTTGCAGATTATCTAAAAAGTTTGATTCTTGCCTTTTTACTTGGTTCCTTTTAAACGTGCTCAAGTCAAATTCAACAAGATAAATACACTCCACAGAGGCAATTAAGTACAGTATTTAAAAACAACTATCTCCTACACCACTAACTTACCTTACGAAAAAACATATGAATGCAAAAAATTATTCTTTGAATAAATGCAAAAACTACATCTTTGAATATAACTATTCATTCAATTGGAAATAAATAGAAATACCTGTTTAAAGTATATCCTCAGCAACTCAAAATAAGTGGTTACATTTTGGGACAATCATTTAACCTTACTTCCTCTACATCTAGAGTTATACATAAATTCAAGACATTTGTCATTTTCTAATATAATGTTTAGATAAAAAATAGACAATATCTGCACAAACTGTTACCACATAGAATAGAACCTTACCATTTAATAAGCCAATTGCCAGTATTCAAAATTTAGTTTGCTAAATTCTCTCAACCTGGAGAGTTTAGAATTGCTGAAGTATACACTATTCCTTCAGATTCTAAGAAGGTTAGCTTAATTCCTATACAGGGAAGTAGCCTAGTACAGCTATTAAGTACACTCTAGAGTCAGACTGCCAGAATTTCTATTCCAGCTTGGCCACTTCCCAGCTGTGTGATCTTGGGCTAATTT